TTACCAATACCAATACCAATACCAATACCAATACCAATACCAATACCAATACCAATACCAATACCAATACCAATACCAATACCAATATTAATACCAATATCAATACCAATATCAATACCAATAATAATACTAATACTAATACCAATACCAATATCAGTACCAATACTAATATCAATAGCAATACAAATGCCAATATCATTACCAATACCAATACCATTATCATTACCATTATTGTTACCATTACGTTAGCATTACCGTTATCATTACCATTACCATCACCAATATCGATACCATTAGCATTACCAATTTACCATTACCATTGCTATTACCATTACAATTACCATTACCAATACTAATACCAATACCAGTACCAATACTAATACTAGTACCAATATCAATCATTACCATTACCATTATCATTACCATTACCATTACCATTACCATTACCATTATCATTACTCATACTAATAGTAATATACTAATATTAAGACTACTCTTATAATAATACTATTACTATTAGTAATTGTAATGATAATCCTAATCATAACGCTAACGTTAATCCTAATCGTTACACTAATACTAATTCCAATCATAATCCTGATACTAATATTAATTCCAATCATAATCCTAATCCTAATTCTAATCCTAATGGTAATGTTGATCTTACTAATACTAACTCTAATTATAATCCTAATCCTAATAATAATACGAATCATAATCCTAATCATTATAGAAATGCAAATATTCTAATACTAACATTAATTTTAATATTATTCCTAATATACTAATGGTAATGCTAACTCTATTTTTTTAATCATAATGCTAATACTAATGCCATTTTTAGTTTTAATATTAATCGTAATCATAATCCTAATTATAATAATAATCATAATCACAATCCTACTTCAAATCTTAGTTGAAATAATCCTAATACTTATAATAATATAAATTTTAATATTAACACTAATAGTTTAGTTAAAAAAATACTAATACTAATACCAATACTAATATTAATACTTATACTAATAGTAATACTAATACGCTAATACTAATATTAATATTAATGCTAATACTAATACTACTATCAATACTAATACTAATACTAATACTAACACTAATACTAATACTAATAATAATACTATTACTATTAATTACTATTATAATTACTATTGCTATAATCATTACTATTACTATGACTATTACTATTAGTATTAGTAATCTGATAATAACAATATTAATCTTACCGATATTATGCTAATGCTAATCCTAATATGTTAATATTAATGCCAATACTATTTTAATGTTACCACCATACCTAATTATATACTAATGTTAATACTAATCTTAATGTTAACGCTAATACAAATCATATTCTGAATCGTAAGACTAATGCTATACAAATCTTAATACTAATTATAATCCTTATCCTAATCATAATCATAATCCTTATCACAATCCTAATCCTAATCCTAATATGAATTCTAAAATACTAATGCTAATGCTAATACTAATGCTGATGTTGATGCCAATACTAACTAATGTTAATACTAATGCTAATGCTAATTTTAATACTAATGTGAATGTATACTAATACTAATATTAATCCTAATATGTAAATGCTAATGCTAATCATAATATGCTAATGCTAATGTGAATGCTAATACTAATATTAATATTAATCCTAATACGGTAATGCTAAAGCTAATCCTAGTCCTAATGGTAATGCCAATTTGGTATGCTAATGCTAATCCAGATACTATCTCAATGCTAATGCTAATGCTAATGCTAAAAACAATATTAATCCTAATGTTAATGCTAATTCTAATATTTATCCTCCATCGTAATGTTAATGTTAATCCTAATCCTAATCCTAATCCTAATTATAATCTCAATCCGTGTCCTAATCATTATCATAATTCTAATACTAATACTAATAATAATAATTATCATAATCCTAATCTTAATTTCAATACTAATATATGCTAATGGTGGTAATAATATGTTAATGCCAATGCTAATACTAATCATAATATGTTAAAGCTAATATACTAATGTTAATGATAATCCTAAAAAATAATGCTAATTATAATCATAATCGTAATATAAATCATATTCCTAATCTTATTCCTATCACAATTCTAATCCTAATCTTAATCCTAATCTTAATCATGATTATGACTTTGATCCTAATCCTAATGTTGATCCTAATCAGAATCATAATCCTGATCGTAATCATATTCCTAATTTTAGTCATAATCCCAATATTAATCTTGTTGAAACAGATATTCAAATAGAGTCCGAGATTTCCGAATCTAACTCTCCAGCTCACGCTCCACAGGATTGATGACTCCTTGAAAATCTGTTTCAACATATAAAAATATATTTGCAGAAATATTTGAAAGAGTTTTATTTTCCACACCTTTCATCACTTACATAGATTACATTATATAGAATTTTAGGCTAACAGTTTGCCGAGGAATCCTAATCTCTAGCTACAACAAACTCCGGTCCAAGACCAGCCAAGATATAAGTGATTATATCATCCGAAGTGAGTGCCTGGCCAGCCATAGATAGTTGATCTGCGATTTTCTTGATTTGCACGAAGTAATCTGTAGCAGAGAGATGACCTTTGCGAGATGTAGCTAATTGAGACCGAACTTGGACAACTTTGGCTCTAGATTGAGAAGCAAAACATGTTTGAAGTGCAAGCCAAATGGCATGGGAGGTTTCAGATTGATAAACTTGGGCAAGAACTTCTTCGGTGAGAGAAGAATTAATAGTGCTAAGAATTAGATTATCTTGTTTGGTCCAGAGAGTGAATTCGGGATTTGGAGTTGAGGTGCCATTGACAGTAAGAGTTGCAGGTGGTGCTTTAATTGTTCCATCGACATAACCGAAGACTTCTTGGCCTTTTAGGTAAGGAAGTATTTGCGCTTTCCATATGGGATAATTTGTGCGAGTAAGTTTAGTAACATTAATGCTGGAAGAAGGATTAAAGATAGGAAGGGATGAAGTGTTTGTGGCAGATGCAGTAGACATGGTGGAAGAGAAAATAATTTACGACGTTTGTCAATACCCAGCTGATACCATATAAAAATATATTTCCAGAAATATTTGAAAGATTTTTATTTTCGACACCTTTCATCACTTACATAGATTACATTATATAAAATTTTAGGCTAACAGTTTGCCGAGGAATCATAATCTCTAGTTACAACAAACTCCTAGATATTTGTACATAGTTGAAGTCAATCTTCTAATATGTTGATGCTAGTTTAGTGTTCATCTTTATAAGCTAATGTTAATTCTAAGTATAATATACTAATGCTAATACTAATATATCATAATGCCAATGTTAATACAAATCCTAATATGCTAATGCTATTACTAATATGTTAATGCTAATAGTAATATGATATTTCTAATACTAATGCTAATCATAAAAGGCTAATGCCAATGCTAATCATGATCATAATCTTAATCTGAATTATAATCATAATCATAATCCTAATCATGATCATGATCCCAATCCTGATCTTAATCCTAATCATTATCTAAATATTAATCTTGATCATAATCTTAATGTTGATCCTAATACTAATACAAATACTAATATTAATATTAATACTAATATGCTAATGATAATTTAATGTTAATCCTAATATACTAATGCTAATTATAAAGCTAATTCTAATGCTAATAGCTATTTCTAATGCTAATATGGTAATGGTAAATTAATAATATTTATAATATTTTTATTTTTATGTATACAATAAAAAAATAAAGTTTTTTTTTAATTAATATAAGAATAATGTTTTTAAAAATCATTAATAATTTCAATGAATCTATCAATAAATTAATTCATCAAGATACACGAAAATCATTAAATATAGAATATATCATTCCATATATTTTGATATCATATTAATTTGCATTTATCCTTATACATATAGTATATATAATTATAGAATAAGATGTTTGAAAATTCGAATTAAAATTAATCAATAAATTTTTAAAATATTATGAATTTATATTTTTTATTATTAAAATAAAAAATAAAAAATGTGTGTATATTCAATATATTTTGAACAATTTATAAAATAAGAATATTCATTTAATTTTATTATTGACTTTCTATATTTTAATCTAATTTGTTTTACTCTTTTAAAAAAATTGGATTTTTTGTCATACAAATTTTGGGATTAATATAAATTAATTTGAATATAATAATTTGGGAAAATTATTAATATTGTAATATTTCTTTTCTTTTGAACACTTTGAATAAATTATATTTGAATTTTTTTCTAATATTTATATTTTTATGTATACGTTACAATAAAAAAATATAGTTTTCTTTTTAATTTATTAATATAAGAATAATGTTTTTAAAAATCTTTAATAATTCAAATGTATCTATCAATAAATTAATTCACCAAGATATATGGAAATGTTTAAATATAGAATATATCATTCCATATATTTTGATATATTAATTTGCATTTATCCTTGAAAATATAATATAATTATAGAATTAAATTTTTAAAAATTCGACTTAAAATTAGTATATAAATTTTACAATATTATGAAATTACATTTTTATTATTAAAATAAAAAATAAAAATGTGTGTTTATTTAATATATTTTTAACATTTTATTAAATACGAATATGAATTTAATTTTATTATTGACTTTCGATATTTTAATCTGAGTTTTTATTTACTCTTTAATGACGTGGAAAAAATATTAATATTGCATTTACACCTCAATGTTTCTTTTTTTCAAATTATTGATTATAAATAGGAAACTAATCAACCAATAAAAAGAGACTAATTTGACATGTAGGAGAGATAAAACTTAAAATCAATAAATTAAAATTTATTCACAATGTTTTGAAAACCGGACCGGACATTGACCCGGTCAAGCTACCGGGTCACGGTTGGACCGGTTCCACCGGGTCCAACCGGGTTTTTTACATTTTTTATATATATAATTATTTTATTTATTTAATATCTCAAATATAATGTATTATATATTTTTATATTTCCACTTTCATCACTTTATAATAAAGTAATTAAAAATTATTAATTTTCTTCTCACTCCTCCTCCTCCTCTCTCTCTCTCTCTCTCTCTCTTCTTTCTTCCTCCTCAGTTTATACGCACAGTCACAAATCCCCATCCCCTTTTCTTCTTCCTTCCTTCTTTTCTTCTCTTCCTCCTTGTTTATTCTTAATTCTTCCCATTTCCACCAAAATATATACTTTATTTTCTCCAATTATTTTTCCATTTTTTTTCTTCATTTTCACTTTCACCCTCTTCGTTTTCTTTTCTTTGGTGGATAGCTATGGCAACTACCACTTAGATTGGGTCACATACTACCTAGATCCGTTCATCAGCAACCTTTCCGTCAAGATTCAGTAACCCACGAAGTAGATCCAACGATGAAATTTTTTTTGAGCTAAAAACCGGTTTTCGGGTTACCCGGTTCTTACCGGTTGAACCGGATTTTTGGGGGTTGACCCGGTTTTTTGAGCATTTTGGGTTTTGACATCTAACCGGACCGGACATGGCGGCGGTTCGCGGTTGAACCGGTCGGACCGGCCGGTCCGTTCCGGTTTTCAAAACATTGTTTATTCATTAATAATATGGATAATTATGGTAAGTGGAATTTTTTTGCAATTAATAAAACATTACGGACTCAATATCCTCAATTAGATAAATTTAATTGTGTATCTACTATAGTCAAGTCAATCCATATCATTATAGTTATATAAGATGGTAATTCACTAATTTTTAATTACTAATTTATTTCAAGTATAAATATAGTCTATACATATAATATCATTAAATAAAATAATTAATATATGTGTATACTTTTGTGCACATATACATAAAATAAAATAATACCATACTAAATATGTGCATAACATGAAAAGACGAATAATAAAAAGAAAATGATGAATTTATTCGTGAAAAATATTAACAAAAATAATAATATTTTTGTAATTACTCTATTCATGTAATTGAATTTAATGGCTTCAAACGATTGACCTCAATTACATTACCCCATTTGTTAAACAAAGACTAATACTTGTTGCCGCATACCATATTGTTTGATCTACAAAAATCACTTTAACCTCATGTCAATTTAAACCTTAGTTTTCCATGATTTATTCGCAAACGCAGAACAACTTTAACAGGAGGACTACTCGTGTAATGAATATTGATTGTACACAATCAATCCAGAAGTTTTAAAGAAAGAATTACTCAAATGTTACAAATACAATTGAAGAAAGAAATTACATGAAAAAAGAAAAAAATCGGAAATTTTAAAATACATTAGAAAAATGGCAACAATGTATCAACCATTGAAGGCATGTGATGATAATACAACACTTTTTCAAATCTCTTCGCCATATCTGAAAAAAAAAACAATGAAAGAATAAAACATTAATAAATAAGTAATAAAACCAATTAAGGCAAAAGTGTACGAGAAAATAAGTCAAAACGAAATAAAAAATAAATAATTTATAATCGCATTAAATTGCAATGAGTGTAAAAAAAAAGGAATTCTTGCGTGGGCAAGAAGAAGTATTTGAATGACCATTTTATAGACGATTTGAAGAAAATAGTAAAGGAAATAAATCAATTAATGCCATAATATTATAATTGAATACCAAATAAATTTAATGATTTGAATTTCCATATTTGTTCCTAAATTAATGAAATTAAGGGACTTAACTTTCGAAATTAATGATAATAAATTAATTTCATTTCCGATATATATATATATATATATATATATATATATATATATATATATATATATATATATATATATATATATATATATATATATATATATATATATATAATGATTGAATTATATAAGGAAATAAGAATTATATAAATTTTAACATTAATGATATGTGTCCACATGGATCAAAATGAACCAATGAAAATGAATATTTCATCCATGTATGCAATTGAAACTAAAATAAAATTAATCAACCAATCAAAATAAACGATTTTGACACATAGGCAGATAAAATTTGAAATTGAATATAAGGAAAATAATTAAATTCGGAAATGGTAATAAACTTAAGAATATGAGTGTTTATGATAAGTGGGGAGTTTTTGCAATTAATATATATTTATTGGACTCAATGTCCTCAATTAGAAAACTTTGATTGTGTATCTTAGTTTTATATATATATATATATATATATATATATATATATATATATAGATACCATGATATCTAAGAAGAGGATCTTACTTAATATATCATTAGTATTGTTGGATCTTTTAGAAACACAGATAAGATATTACTGAGGACATCCAAAGTCCATAAGTTAACCTGAAAAAAGCTTAAAGCCCAAAAACGCCTGCGCCAAGAATCGGCAAAACGGCAAACAGGGCAAGCCCACATGGTTAACTTATGAATATCACTGGAAACCTCATACCTTCTGGTCAAACCAAACTCTACCTTTGATATCTTAAGTAAAATAAATCTTACATTTCACAAATGTACATGATAGTAAAGTAATGTTGAGTCAAGCCATACTTTAATACAGGAAACCTAGCCGGCCATTGAGGCGGCGATCATTGAAATATTATTAAAGGACTGAAGATGAAAGCAAGAGTACCTTAAAGAACAGCAAGAACTTCAAACCAACTTATATTCCACACGATAATTATACAAGAGAGGAATTTAAAAGAGAGAGAGAGAGAGAGAGTCTCGAAAAGTCCGCTTAAAGGAGTTGGAAACTCCAACTATAAATAGAAAAGAGAAAGAGCCGGACATCAGCCCCGGATTTCAAAAAGATAAAAAAATGTGAGTAGTTAAAAGTGTGAATAGTGTTTTGACTATTCATGAACAGTGCTTGGTCTGCTGGTGTAAGCAATGACGAAATTTAATTTGTCGGATACTGTAGATGCATCTTGCTGAAATGCTCTAAGATAAAATCTTCTTTAAATCGCCATTAAAGAAGCTTGTTTCTTCAGAAGTCTTAGAGTCTTCTTAAAATCTTTTAAGGACT